CGTCCACTCCACTCTTTAAATAGTAAACTTGATTATTCTACTGTCACTCATTACCTTGTTTAAAGATAGGGCCTCACCTTTTACAATAGAGATCTTTTTTACTAATTCAAGATCATAACTCTTATACGATCTTTTTCATAAGCTCAAAATGATAACCTTTAATCTCACAAGCTCTCAAAAGCTAACTTTCCAAATCTCAAGTGGTTAAAGTATCCTTCATAATTTCATAATTTGTTCACCCAAAAATTATGTTTATAAATTGAGTTTATGAGTAAATATATAAATACAAGCAAAAGTCTTTTAGATAGGTATATGTAGCTTTGAGTATTCTTATATAGTAATAGAAAAACAAATGAGTCAAGAATAAGAATAATCGAATGATGAACTAATAATTAGACATAAAAAGGAAGAGAGAGATAATTATTTCTATAAAAGAATGCAAAGATCAAGCATTTAGTACAAACAATATATTAAATATGAGACTATAATCTAACTTACTCGGATGAAAGTTAGATTTCTCATTTGGGATCGTTATACTTTAAACTTTTTTAAATATTATTTTCCATCAACTTTTGGCATTTAGAAGAGAGAAAGAGAGCATATAATTAGGACAAATGTCTCTCTTGCATGAACCATATCAAAGTTACCAAATGAAACCCATACTAATGATGAAAAATAAAGACAATAAGGATAAATGGGGACAAAAAATATGAGAATTTTTTCTTAAAAAAAAAACAAAGAGTTAAAAAGAATACATATCTAATAAAAGAATAATCATAAACAAAACAAGTGCACACAAGGGCAATTTGGTTTAGCTATCCGATTTTCATTTGGCTTACTAGATAACTATAACTCGTTTTCCACTAATCCTAGGCTGAAAAAACAACCTAAAGTATTTCCAAGGTTATGGGGCAAAAAAACAAGTATGCAACATTAGTTCATTATCACATTATACCTATCAAAAGACTTGTATAACATAAAAATAGTTATCCTACCAACTTATAAGCTCATCAAAAAAGGAATATATCTTGATAAATGGTTAATCTTTAAATATCACTAAGAAATTCCATTATCCACTTTTTTTGAGATAAAACACGAGTCTTCAAACACACACAATCAATCAAATCTATGTGCTTGTTTGATATATCTATAATAGTAAAGAAGACCTTTTTCCTTTTTATCTCATCTTGTTTCTTTTTTTTTTTCCTTAATAAATCTAGATCCGATTACTAGATTTAATGTTTTAAAGAGTCTAAATAATCATAGATTTAGATCTATATGATCGAAAATATGTGATTTTATTTCATTATATGAGTTTATTTATTCTTAATTTGTATCGATTGGAGGTTCTTTTGAAAATTTATGATAGATTGAAACATCAATTATAGTCTTAAGTAGATTTTAAGTGTAGTTGTTGAATCCGTTGTTAGAAGAAGGTTTCGACACTCGATCACAAACTTGTTACTCTCGTCGATAAAGTCCGATGATGTGGCATGTTTTCTTGTTGATAAATGGTGGCGGTAGATTCCTAAGATTAAGAAATATAGAAAAAGTCTCATTGTGAATAGTTTGAAAAAGAAAAACTTAGAGAATTTATCTAAAAGTCTATGAAATATAGATGATGAGATGCTATTACAAAAGTCAATGATTACTACCATAACGAGCTAGCTTTTTCTCATTTGATTAGAATCGATTATAATAGTTGTAATATCTACTCGAGTTTTATAAAAATTATAATGATTGTGTGCTATTTTCAGTATTAAAATTATAATTCTTATTGAAAAAAACAAAAGATGAACAACAATATTATATTAAACTATTGAAAACAATTAAAAAATATCTATATTTTAACACTTTTTTCATGAATGTAAGATCTATTTATGTATGAAATAAAAATATTAACAAAAATATTCATATATATATATATATAAAGAATTTTCATGGATTGATTTTTGAAGTTTTGAATAATTAAATTGAAGTTAGTTTTATCACTATAAAATGATGAAATGGGAATAACACCACCCAATTTTTAATTGTGTTCTTAAAAACTACTAACCATGTATATGAATTTTTAACGAGAACGAATTAGAGTTTTGTAAAAACATGCTACTATTTCTTGATTTGATGAATGTTTCCTGGTTGCAATTAAGATCTTCATGTGAAGAAATTAGAATTTTTATAAGATTGTATATTATCATCGTATAGGTAAATTTCATTCAAGTTACATATTATGATTATATAGTTATATTGCATTCTAATCCAAATGTTGTATAATGTACAACAATAAGTAAGAGTTTTTTTTTTTTTGATAAAATATTTATGATACGTATTTATATTGCAACGAGTAATTAAAAGCTTGTTGGACAAAATTTGAAGTTCAGTAAAAAATAAAAATAAAAAATAGATTGTCCATTCGCGTAGATAAAAAGTTTGGGTATTTTTTTGCTTATCATTATTATTATTATAACTGTGCTGCGATAGATCATATTTCCATGCACATATAAATCTACATGGATTTATTAATAATCAAAGTTATTTTTTTAAAAAAAATTTCAACTTGCTACATGCAAAATTTTTTGTGGTCTCGGATATATTTTCAATATTAATTAAGAGAATAATGCAATGTCCTTACATTGCATGAGTTGTTTTTCTTATAGATTTTATTCTGTAATGTCGTAAGAATTACAATTATATTATGGTTCCTATATACCATCATTCAATATATATTTTAAATAATAAACCACAACATGCATTGGCAGTGGTAGTAAGCACAAAATGGATGTGCTAAGCAATTTGTTATTTCTTTTTTGTTTTTAATGAAAAAAGACATAAAAAAACATACAAATAATTGTTATTAATTTTGTTATTTTTCATCAATTTATAACAAGTTTGATAAGAAAACTCAAAATCAATACAAATAAAATTAAAGTTAAAAAAAAAGAAAAAGTACCATCGATTTTTATATGTATAATGGTTGTATTCTTTTCTATATGCCACTTAAAGAATTTTTTACTTTCCGTACGGTGTTATATATTCATATTTTTTTTATATATGTCTTTTTATTATTTTTTGGATGAAAATACTCTACAATCACCAAATGAAAGAAATAATTTTAAAAAGTATAAAAAAATGAAAAATCAAAATTTAACTTTTGAAAAGCATGAAAAAGCTTAAGAAAACCAGAAAACACAAACATAAGGAAAAAACCTTAACAAAAATTGTAAAACCTAGAAAAATAACACTAACTTGAAAAATCTATAAATAAAATAACTGTATCCATAAATTTCTCATATGTAATAGAAATATGTCTATGACAATGAAATACATTTGATAGAAAATGGGTTTTTCAAAACATTCATCGATTACAATTATATATATTTTTATGGATTATTTTCCTTTTGTTTTTTTTGGGGGATGTCCTAATTTTTACATTTCTAGTATTTTTTTTTTTTTTTTGTTTGTGTATTCTGAGGGTTTCAAGTTTCTTAAAATTAAACTTAACTTTTTTATGTTTTGAAAATTAGTCTTTCTTTTGATGATTTAAGGAGCATTTTGTTCAAAAAATAACAAAAAGAAAATAAGAATATACAGGAGCACTTGAAAAATAAAAATTATTAAAAGGATATATGATAAGACGTCTAGTGTATAAGTGTGGATGAACTAAGGAGTAAGGAGGACAATAACAACTATGGAATTGGTCGAGTTAGAGGATGAGTATAATAAAAATAAAAGTATAGGGATGACATTTAAAATATCAAAAGCATTGGGACAATAAAAACGATTAGCCCCGATAGTATCAATTATCTGAAGAACTATCCATCGTACGTGAGGCATTATTTGAAACGCAAGCTAACACGTGCCATCCCATTTTGAACCTAAAGAAACCCCCAAAAACCAGAAAACGCCACTTTCTTTTCTCTCTTTGAATCGAAGAAGAAGAAGAAGAGATGGAAGCAATACTAATAGACTGTGTAAACAACAGTCTTCGCCATTTGATGTATCGTAACGCCATTTTCATGTGCGAACGACTCTGCGCTGAGTTCCCTTCCGAGGTAATCGCAAAAGCTCCAATTTTTTAATTTCGAGGCATTTTGTTTGGTCTCTGAGAAACTGCAAGAAAATAGAAGGGATACTCTTTTAGATGTCTCAAACACAGTTTCTGTTTTAAAATTTTTTTTTATTGGTTTCTCAAGAACAGTTAGGGGTATTACTATTTACTGGTAAGATCGGTTTTTTAGCGTATTTTGATAATTTTGTGACATTACGGTACTGACTGGAGCTCTGGCTGTAAGTTTTCTTTCTTTTTTTTTTGGAGAAAAACGTCTGAAATTCTGATGTATTTTGTGAATTTGGATATTTTGAAAGAAAAAGGGGTTGAGGTTTTGATACTTGTCAGTTGTGGAATTTTGGGCGAATCGGAAGAGGGCTTTCCTTGGATGTATTTATTCACAGCGTGCTTGACCACTGCTATTGAATCAAACAGATTTAGTAATTAAACTATGAAGATAACTAGATGACACCTGGAGCCTTAGTTCTCGAAATACCTTAACTAGCTACTCGTCAATTTTGACAATGTTTCCTCAAATATTGAGGATATGTTTTTTCTTTCATCTTTTAACATTTCGGGTGTTTTCCTTGTCTATTGTGATTCAAATGTAATGTGTTTATTTATGTTTCTTTTTGTTTTGCTAAGTTTTGTTTGACTTCAAAATGATTGCATTTTGTTTATGCAGGCAAATTTACAATTGTTAGCCGGATGTTATTTGCAAAATAGTCAAGCTTACTCTGCGTATCATATTCTAAAAGGTAGTATCCTGCTTCATGTTTTCATCTTTCAGATGGTTCTTAGCTTATGACGATCTTAATATATTTAGTCATTGCTTTCTTTCTTGTCTTGATTTTTTTTTTCCAACCCCTTATTGCCATTGATCCATTGAAAATGTTGATTATTCCTGCATCTCACTTCTTCTTTCTGTTCATTATCATCTGTAGGAACACAAATGGCTCAATCCCGCTACTTGTTTGCGATATCATGCTTTCAGATGGATCTTCTAAATGAAGCTGAAGAGGCATTATGTCCTACTAACGAGCCTAGTGCAGAGGTATCTATTGAAATTTTTAATCAAAAATTGGTTTTGCCTTTTTCTATAGTACCTTGATCCAGTAAACAGGCTGTTTTCATCACCATTTTTCATTATTTATCTTTGAAAATGCATTTTCTGCTGGAGTCAGTATGTATTCAAAGTCCTGAAATTAATTATTGCTGAATGCTGGGCATAGTTGTGTACTTTTTAAGGCATTTTTCTGGATATTGATGATTTGTTCATGTTGTTTCTCTTCTCTATCAGGTTCCAAATGGTGCACCCGGGCATTTCCTTCTTGGGCTTATCTACAGGTTGCTCACTGCTTTCCAAATATTTAGTGATTAAGAACCACAAGAACTTTGTTGTCCTATGCTTTGGATATGTATAAAATACAAGTTATAGGCAAACTTTGGCTGTTTTCCTTAGAATTAAGAGAGTAGTTTCTGAATAGATCTTTGGACTTTTACTTTAAGTTTAGGCATATATTCTCATGTATTGCTGTAGAATATCAAGAAAGGAAGAATAACTGATTTAAAACTATTATTTTTCTTGACTTGCTAGATTCTTTTTGTTGGCCGTGTGCTCTGTGAAATGTTAACAGAAGAGACAGAATCTTGCCCTCAGTTAAAATTTTCCATTGATTCAGTGAAAATTTGAAATTGTTAATTTCATCAGACTTGTGTATTCATTGATTCTAATCTTAAAATCTTTATGAAATGATGTCATAATATTTGATTCCCTTTCAGAATGCCATAGAGCTGCATATGAACTTTGCAAAGCTTCTTGATATTCTAAAGCATTCTCCTTCGTTGTTTATAACACCTTACTAAAAAGAAATGTTGTGCTTTTGTTTCATATTTGAATTTTTGAACCTTCATAATTATTAAATTTTATTTGCTACTCCTTCTACATCCTGGTTTAATATATCAATTTCTCATTCTTTTAAGCTTATTTGGATTTAGGCATACTGATCGAAGGAAAAGTGCCATCAATCACTTTAAGCAGGCTTTATCTATAGATCCTTTATTCTGGGCTGCCTATGAGGAGCTTTGTATATTAGGTATGGTCATTGAACATTCACACAATTCTGTGCCATTTGCAGTTCTGTGCAACCAGCTTGCTGTTCAAATTGAAAGTTCTTCTACTTGAGCGATATATTTTTCTCCTGATATTATGTTGGCATTTTTTTATTATTGTTTTAGGTGCTGCTGAAGAAGCAGCTGCATTTTTTGATGAAGCAGCTGCTCTTTGCATTCAAAAGCAGTACATGAATTATTTGTCAGCATCCCAGAACTTGAGCATATCCAATGAGGATCGTAATGTAGTTTCTGCTCGAACCTTTGGCTTGGAAGATGGAAGTCCAAGGCAGTCGAAACACCCACAAGGGAATAACCTAAGAGATATTCCTGGAAATTATCATGGAACCACTACATTAGGAGGACCTGCTAGTCAGCCTTCTAATGGTGGCCCTCCAAACTTGTCATTTTATAATACCCCTTCGCCAATGGCCACACAGGTATGATAATGTGAATTATGCCAAGCTATGATTATACAGAAAGTTTAGAGTTTGTTTTTATCTTTTTTTCTTAAATTGTCTCATTCAGCACCTAAAACTGTAATGCTAGTGAATCTTGTCCTTTTTGTTTGAAATAATGACCAACTTCTGATTTTGTTTTTTTTTTGGTGGGGGGAGGGTTTCTCACGCATTGTGGATCAGGATTCCAGACAACAATATGTGATTTTCTTTATTGATTTGACTTACTTGGTCTTATCTATTCTTATATGTTCTTAAGCACACAAAGTTATGCTTAATTATGGTTACTGTTTAATGTTGGGAATGTACCACATCTTCTAACTTGTTGATTCTTCATTTGTGTTATCCAGTTTGATGGTCTGTCATATTTTGAATTCTGTGTATTCTCTCTTTGGATTCATGTTTTTTCCACCTAATTGGAAGCTAGCCTTTTGTGTCAAGGCTTTGTGAAGCAGAATTGATTCTTTAATTCATCTGTTCTCTGTTTTGACATTTATTTGGTAAACTTTGTGAGAATGACGCATAAGCTTGATCTTCTTTGTTGCCCTTGGGTTTTTACACAAATGATAAGGGTGGGGTAGGTCTTAGGTTCAATCATGGTACCCTATCTTGCTAATTTTTCCTACTGGAAGGTCGGTTTTCTTTTGTCTCCTCAAATGTTAAATCTTTGAAATTTTTATCACCATTTTTCTTCTTACCATGCTTGATTTATTCTACGACTTGAACTGCAGTTGTGCATTTTGTCATCCTATCTATCCTTTGATCTCTGTGTTCAAATTTTGTCCCCCCTGTTAACTTTTGATCTTTATGTTGTACTTATATTTTCTCGTGAAGCAAGTTCTGTGCTCACTAACTCTCATCTCATTCCATCAGTTCTTGAACTATCTATATTATGCTGGTCAAAATGCTTCGATGCATTCCTTCATCTATGTTAGAAACATGCACCTATTCTTTCATTTCATGTTTACATGTCCTTCCATGTTATAACTTCATCCTACTCCTTTCTGCTGTTATTCTTTGTTACTCATGCCAGTGAGACTGCAAATAGCTATCATCTCTTCTGTTGCTTTTCACTAATTTGCTTTTTTAATATAAAATCAATTTTTGTACTCACCAGTAAGGTTAGGGTATAGTTATGGTTCACTTAAATTTGTATTCTTTTCCATAGCACGTTTCATTGTATTGCTTCTGAGACTCTATTTTTGCAGTTGTCAGGTGTTGCCCCACCACCATTGTGCAGAAATGTGCAGCCAAATGGTTCAAATCCTAGCACACTTGGATCTGATAACTTTCCGAGGTCAATTGTGAATTCTAATATTCAGGCCCCTCGTAGAAAGTTTGTTGATGAAGGGAAATTGCGGAAGGTTAAGAGCTCTAATACAGCCTTTCTTTTTTAATTTTGTTTCTCCATCATCTCTTCCAAGCTAAACTTCAAAAACTCCATGCCATTTTCTTAAAAGAAATGTCATAATCTAGTGTGTTTGGTCTCTGCTGTGGAGCACAGAATATACTGCACTTGAAATAAGGAAGATCAGTTGGTTTCTTTTTCTTTTGTGAGGAGATTGTTCCAAGCCAAGGCATTGAATGAAAGTTACAGCTTAAAATGGGTTATAAATGAACATGGGAAACATTTCATGATGCAAACTTCTGTATTGGAGCTGAACGCCTGCTTACCTTTGAGATTAATTGTTTCTTTTTGTTCCTCTGCTTTATCCGATTCAGTTTATTGGCATTGATATTTTCTGCCTTCCCTTGTCTTCATGGTACAGACTTAGCTGATCCTGAAGGTATTTTCTTAGTGGGCCAATGTTTTTAACCTTTTAGTTCACCATTGTATCATGGAATTTTAGCTTGTTAGTGACCTTTTCCGTACATCTTCAAGTAATTTCATCTAGATTCCTTTGTGGGGCATGCATGATTGATTTTCATCCTTGCATTGAAGGTTTTCTTTCTATTTTAGCAAGTTGTTTGGGCCTGTTATACTGACAGTGACATTGTTAAGGTTATTTTTATCTTTTGTGTGATTTTGTCAACATGCCTTGGTGAAACCTGCTATTGCTATATCCATCTTTTCTTTGTTTGATGAGCCTTTCACTAGGTTTCCCAACATTAGTGCCCCTCATTTATTTTCAGATTTCTGGGAGGTTATTTTCTGATTCTGGCCCTCGGCGAAGCACAAGGCTTGCTGCTGAAGCTGGAGCGAACCAAAACACTAGTGCTACACTGGTTGCAGGGAATGGAACTAACAACTCTTCTAAATATCTTGGGGGTTCCAAGTTGAGTTCTATGGCAATACGTTCAGTTACAGTTCGTAAGGGACTGTCATGGGCCAATGAAAATTTTGATGAAGGTGATCATTAGTCTGCTTTTTGTTTGACTAATTTGTTGACTTCTACATCTGTATTAACATTGGAGTTGGCTGAAGCAGAAATGTTTGTGTTTGTCCAGTGGACTCAAGTTGAAATAGCAAGTTATCTTCTTTTGTTGCTATCTTTTGTTTTTCTGCAGTACGCTTGCTTTTGTTCTTCTGCCTGCTTATTGACTATCTAACCAATTGTTTGAAAATTTTGATTTTAATCATATTAAGGGATACGAAATGAGGCTTTTGATGATTCACGTGCAAATAATACGTCATCAAATTGTATTTCATCGCCCTCTGGGGATTCTAGATCTCTTGAAACCGAAGTAGCAACTATGCCTGTTGGTGGAGTTATCATGAGTGCTTCATGTATCTTAAATGGTGCTTTAGAAATATTAGGCCTCCTGAGAACTCTTGGGGAAGGTTTCAGACTTTCTTGCATGTACAGATGCCAGGTATTAAATGTTGTTCGCTAAAACAACAAAGTTAATATTATTTTCTGGACTATTTTTACTGTTTTAACTTGCTTCTTGGTAGCACAGGATGCACTGGATGTGTACATGAAACTATCACACAAGCATTATAATACAGGCTGGGTGCTTTGCCAGGTAAAATCAGTAGTTGAATAGTAAATACTTTGTGTTCTTCATTTTTGTTTTTTTCTTGATGCTGATTATGCACTCGTCTCACTGATAGTTATCTACACGCAGAAAACTAGCAATGAGATTGTGGATGAATTTATCAGATACCATTGTGTATTTGCATCATTAAATTATTGAGTGTTATTGAAATTTCAGAACTGAATTTAGGATATCTTTGGGTTGAAATATGAAAATTGCTATGGAAATAAAATTTTCATGAAACAATTTTCCGTTTTGAGTTTTCATGTTTTTAACCTAATCGTATGCGAGGAACTGTTCAAACCTACCTTTCAAAAGTCTGCCATCAGTTTTTGATGATATTGTGATAAATTGTTCCCAATGCTTACTTGAAGTTAGCAGCAGTAAATTTTATTACGTTTGCGTATATAAAGAGATTCCCACTTTATTTTTTCCCTCTCTTTCTTTTTGGGTTATTTAGAACTTAGAATGTATCCATTTATCATTTCTTTTTTTAATATCATATGATGATTGCATGTTGCAACCTTTGCTCCTTTTTTTTCGTTCTCATGCTTGCTTCCCTCTAAATGACTGTTTGCTATGATTCAGTACTATCTGCATGCTTTGCATTATTGAACATGCTTGTGTTTCGAATGCAGGTTGGAAAAGCATATGTTGAATTAGTGGATTATTTGGAAGCTGATAGAGCCTTCAGTCTTGCCCGCCGAGCATCTCCTTACAGTTTAGAAGGGTTGGATGTATATTCTACAGTTCTTTATGTGAGTCTATCTATAGGAGGTTCCAGTAACATAGTCCATAAATTAAATTTTTTTCTGCTTGGATTGTTATCAACACCGTGCTCTTAAAATATGAAAGTAGGATATGTGACTTTTGATCTCTTCCTTTGAAAATCAGGATAATATAGGGTTTTATTCCTCGAAATTAGTCTTTATATTTCAATTGTAGTGCTTGGTGCTTGCACCTCATGCATTTCTGGTACATCTATTTCTTGATTTAGATGAAGTTTTATTCGTACTTTTGTTGCAGCATTTGAAGGAAGAAATGAAGTTAAGTTACTTGGCTCAGGAACTGATATCAACTGATCGTTTAGCTCCTCAATCTTGGTAGTGCTATTATACCTTTTTAAGATACAGTGCCTCCTATGCCTTTTGTTTCTCATGCACCTGCTTCCAATCTAGCTTTCACTAGTTACTTGGTGGTTATCACCTTAATTTCTCCTCTTAGCTGTTACACTCTATTTTTCTTCACAAAACAAAGCAGTAAAGTTGTCTATGCTGCTCATTATTTTCTGGATTTTAGTTTTTCTCTCGTGCTTCTGGGCCTTAGAGAGTAAACTGTTAGATGCAAGAAAGCTTTGTTGAAAATTGTTAATATTGTTCCAGAACAAAGCTGATATCTTGAGATCTTGGTGTACCTGTTTATAGCTCGGTGTATGTTTGTCATGCCTATTTTCAGTGGAGGGAAGGGTCCTTCTATATTAGTTCACAATTTACATCAACTCTGCCTAACTTGGTGATCTGCAGATTTCAGTGGCTACTTTTAGGATGGTTGACAAGTGATATTGTTGTATGCATTATGGTGCTTATAGAAACCTGATGATCCATCTATGAATGTGCTTGAAACAAATTTGGGGTTTAAACAGCACAAGGCTGGCTGATTGCAGTCTGTTAGAACATCAAGCTTGCATATTTTACTTTGCTGCAGCTGTATGCATTAACAGTTCTTATAATTAATCAGGCTTAGTTCTCACTCATTCAGGTTGAATGGATTTGCAGGTGTGCCATGGGAAATTGCTATAGTCTGCAGAAAGACCATGAAACTGCCTTGAAAAACTTCCAGCGAGCTGTACAACTTGATTCAAGATTTGCATATGCACACACCTTATGCGGTCATGAGTAGGTCCCTTATTTTGTTTTTTCTTTTTCCTTTTCTTTTGCTCGTGGTAATTGATATATTTGTATTTTCAAATGGTAGAATTTTATATTCAAAGGTTGATTCACGTTTCATATATTTTTCCTCCAATTACTTGGTTTCCTCCAGATATGTTGCCTTGGAGGATTTTGAGAATGGAATTAAGAGTTATCAGAGTGCCCTTCGGATAGATGCTAGGCATTACAAGTCCTGGCATGGGCTTGGAATGGTCTATCTTCGACAAGAGAAAAACGAGTTTTCTGAGCATCACTTCCGAATGGCTTTCCAAATAAATCCACGTTCTTCTGTTATAATGTCTTATCTTGGGACGGCTTTGCATGCCTTAAAGGTTGAGCCATATGCAAATTGATCTTTAAATTCTGTATTCCAAAATTAATAATGTCCTATGGTTTTCTAATTTTTGCTTTTCTTTTTGATTAATAAAAAAAAATAGAGAAATGAGGAAGCTTTAGAGATGATGGAGAGGGCAATTTTAGCTGATAAGAAGAACCCTCTTCCCATGTATCAAAAGGCTAATATACTTGTGAGCTTGGAAAGCTTTGATGAAGCTCTAGAAGTCCTAGAAGAGCTGAAAGAGTATGCTCCTCGTGAGAGCAGTGTTTATGCTTTGATGGGAAAGATTTATAAGAGGCGTAACATGCATGAGAAGGCAATGCTTCACTTTGGTCTTGCTTTGGATTTGAAACCATCAGCAACCGATGTTGCTTCAATTAAGGTGATTGGGTTATTTCACTTCAATCTTTTGCTTTCTATAATTGGGAACTGAATGTGAAAGCATAACTGTATTTACTGAGAAAAATGGACTCTGAAATTTACAATGTATTTTATTTAGCAATTCATAGCACTCGTCAAAGCTTGAACTTCGTAGTAAAATCACATTTAGTGCACTTTTTTTTTCACAGATTGATATTAACTGGGTTTAATGCTCGTGCATCTGTTTGGTGGCACTTACTCAAACTACAGTATCTAGTTTTTTTTCTTTGTTTGAGACAAACCATAACTTGAATCTTCAGCTGAGTTTATGGACTGCACCTCTCTTGTTTCTTTTTCATCAGCTTGGAGTTATATTTTGTCGATCTCTTCCTGTTTCTTAATATTTGACAGGCTGCCATTGAGAAGCTGCATGTACCAGATGAATTAGAAGACAGCTTGTAGATCTCTTAACATTGGAGACACAGAAGAAAAGGGAACCCAAAGCAAATTATCCAGCTCAGAGCTGCTGGCCCCAAGGAGAGTGGCCTGCTTGTGCTTTCGAGCAATCACGAATAAAAGAGCTTGATCCTGGGTGTGTATCTGACATGTGGTGGCTCTTCCAGTTGGCAGGTCTTGTAGAAGTAACCTCAGTTTTGTAGGTGATTAACATGCTGACAAAAGACTTGAGGTGAGGCCCTAGAAACTGCCATACTTGTACTGATAGTTGTATAATCATGTCAAGATAAAATGGTTGTATCAGTCATTTGTATCTTTTTTATAGTTAGTTGAAATTAGTGTTTACTCTTGAGGGTTCGGGTTCACAGCGAATGTCATTGCAAGTTCAACCAGGTTAATGTCAATGAATTTTCTGCCCTTGTTCCATTCATTCTCAAATGTCTTATTGCAAAATTCTAGGGAAATTTTTGCCTTGTATTCTTTTGATTTTAGGGTGTAAAAGCTACAATTGAATCAAAATCTTGCTGCAATTCTATTTCCAGAGCACTGGTACATGAGTCTGTTGACAAGAAATTATTTAGCCAATGCAGGATTTTAGATGCTGCATTTTGTGAAGTCTTTTATTGTTTGGCTGGATGAAGAGATTATTCCATCCCAGCAGAATTGGAGGAATCCAAATTACCGAAATTATTATTCTCTGTGTGCTTGGAGATAGTAATTTCCATTTGGCATCTATTGTTTTAGAGTTAAATCACTCAAGTACAGTTTATAAATAGTGTGTTTTGCACGAAAGAAATATTGTTGATTGCAGGTCTTAACTCATCTGTTCAAGAATCAGCTCAAGGAAGCTCGATGACAAGACAATCGACACAAGAATTGCATTTTTGTAAATGTAGATAGCGTTTGTTTTGGATAAAATATTTTCTGGATGAAAAATATTTTACATGTAAAAATGTTTGCCCACAAAACATTCGGCATGAAAATTTTGTTATGATGTTCGGTAATGATGTGAAAAATGTGATAATCATGGAGTGATGAGGATGATGTTTTGTGGTGGTGGTGGAGTAATGGGATGGTAGATAGAGTTGATGATGTAATGGTGGTGCTTAAAATAGTAATGATATGTTATTAGTGGATTGTTTGGAAAATATTTTATAGAACTTAAAGGTTGAAAATATTTTCAAACAAGTAAACTTTGATGAATTGAAAATATTTTTCAACCAATGAAAGTTTAATGGTTGAATATAAAATATTTTATATTAACCAATTTTCCTATTAAATATTTTTTTGCAAAACAAATGCCCCTTAGTAGAATGTTGCTACATTTATCATTTTAAACTCCTCAGTTCTAGTAATGACTTGTGATAGCAATGGCCCTCGTAGATTTGTGACTAGTTTTTCACTAGTGTTATGCTGTAGATAAAAAAAAACATGTAAAATTATTTTAGTTTGAAAATTTGTGTTATATTGTGAATTCACTAAAACATAATAATTATTTTTTTATTAAAATTTTGCATTTAACTAATTATTCGTTGTATTTTTCGAAAATTTTCTACAAAAAAATGATTTATTCTTATTTATTCGATTCTTAACTAAAAACCCGTGATAATCTAAAAATAAAATCTAAAACTCCATGGATTTATAACTAAAAATTTATTTTGTAGATTATTTTTTTCAAAAAATCTAATACAAATTCTCTAATATATATATATATATATCATTTAAAAATTTTAAGTGTCCATCATATAAATTATATAAATTTATTTTGTTTTAAAAAATAATCCTGTTGTAAAGTTTTATTTAAAAATCCATGTGTCGTTACCCGATGTCGGACGGGACTCTCTAAAAAAATAGATCTCATGGTATCACTAGTTTTAGATCTTTATTTTATTTATAAAACTATTTGCGAGTTTGGAGTCGTCACCTAGTATTGAAGGTACTAGGAACCTCAAATTGGCACTCGGTTCGGAGATTCTATGGTAAGGAGTCGGTTACGCTTATGGGAAGATAATTAATCACCCAAAAGTGTCATTTACTAAGAATGGTACCACATCTAGCTTAGTCCTAAATTATCTCTAAAAATATTTTATTTTTGCCAAATTATTTTTCAATTTTTGAGACTCTAATTTTTTTCAAGTCAAATTAAGTTTTTTTATTTTTTAGCGTGATATCGTATTGAAACGATCGTTGGACCCCTTCCGTTGGGAGACACGTCGGTTCAAACATCGGATCCACCTTTTTCGGTCTCGACACAACCGGTGTGTCGGAGAACACTTGTTTATTAGAAAAAACTTTTTTGGCTAACAACGGTCCTATCGGATAGGAGACTTTGTTAAAAAGTTTTATGATTTTTTTATTTTTTTATTTTTTGTTATTTTTCTTTCTTTATTTTTTATTTTTTTAATTAATTTTTCTTGCATAAATACTATTTTTTATTATTTTATTTTTATTTTTATTATTTTATTTATTATTTTATTTTATTATTTTTTTTTAGTGAAAGATTGTCATCGGTCCCTAAAAATTTAGGAGACTTGACGATCTTCTACTTATTACTTACCGAGCCTAATTCTAAACAAAGAAATTAAAGCTACACGAATTAAATAAAAAAAATTAAATACCGACATTTAAATTAATAATAGGTATGCATAAAATAAATTCAATGATAAATTCAAACAATTACAAAATATTAAAATGACAAATTCTAACTAACATACATAAATACTATTTTTTTTTTATTATTATTTTTTACATGAAAGATTGTCATCGATCCCTAAAAATTTAGGAGACTCGACGATCTTTTACTTATTACTTACCGAGCTTAATTCTAAACAAGTAAATTAAAACTACACGCATAAAAAAATTCAAATACTGAAATTCAAATTAATAATAGATATGCATAAAATAAATTCAAAGGTAAATTCAAACAATTACGAAATATTAAAATGACAAATTCTAACTAACATGCATAAAATTAAAATGTAAAATTTATTACACGTATTTTTTTTGTTTTTTATATTTTTACCATTTTTTTATTTTCGAGTGCAATTTGGAATCAATCTAGCCAAAAAAAAAAAAGAAAAAAAAATCCATTCGGCACTGGGCTAGAATCAATCTAGCCCAAAGAAAAAAAATCCTACTGGATCGGAGCCGAAAATGGGTTGGGCTTAACCCTAAAAAAAAAAAAAAAACAAACCCACAAACACTTCATTCCCTCTTTTTCTTCCTAGATTTCGGATCAAAAACAAACTCTCTCCTTCTTCTTTTTTTCTTCATCCCGTCTCTCCCTCTTTCTTTTGTTTTTCTTCTTCTTCTTCCCTTCTCTCCACCCAACTCGCCATGGACGAACCATTTCTTTTCTTTCTTTTTCTTTCGTTTTCTTCTCTTCCTCCTTTCTCGCACCCCTCTCTTTTTTCTTTTCCTTTCTCTTTTCTCTCCCTTTCCCGTCTCTTTTTCTTTTATAGAACACTGCTGTCTGCCATGGACGAACCAATGGAGGTTCGTCCATGGCAGCCTTGATTTCCCTTTTCTTTCTTTCTTTTCCCCTTTCTTTCCTTCTTTTCCTTACTCAAACAAAAACTCCCAAATCAATTTCACAAAATTCTCCCCAATTCGACCGAACCCTAATTTTTCAATTCTTCAAATTTTCATGCAATTGGCCTTGATTGAATTGAAATCAAGTTAATTCACACCCTTTAGGACTCAATTTTATCAAAACCCCCAAATGTATTCTTCAAATTTTTACAATTTCGAAAAAAATCCCAAATTTTAAATCGGACTTAAATTGAAACAAAAAAATGAAATTAAAGAGAAATTAGAGGGATTACCTAAAAGAATTGGTTGGAATGGATGTGGACCGCCTTCAATTCGAGTAAATTTAATTTCTTCTTTTTTTTTTTTGTTTCGGATTTTCTCTCTTTTTTCTTTACTCGTCGATTACCCTCTCTCTTTTTTTTTCAATCGCTAACTCTCTCCTAATTTTGCAAGCTTCCCTCTTAATTTATTTGTTCTTGGATATCAAACTAAAGAAAAAAAAATCCCCCCTCCCCTCCTTTTTTTTTGTTTGATGCCGCTGTGTATATATATATATATATATATATATATATATATATATCCGTGTGTGTGAATACTGGCTTGGTTCTCCACCATGATGGTGTGAGATTATTTTTTTGCAGGATATGGAGTGGGCGTGTGTGACCATTTAGGTTGTAGGGGATGGTTGTGGCGGTGGTTGGTAATAGGGGAAGACTGTGCGATTGCTTGCCGGTTGCAGCATGGTGAGGTCTGCAGGAATCGGGGGAAGTGGTCCGGAGGTACCGTGGGAGGTGCAGCAGAAACAGTGAGGTCGGCGAGTGGGGGTGCTGCTATTGCTTGATCGGGTGATGAGGGAGGAATGGCACTGCAGTTGAGGGAATTAATTTTTTTCTAGGATTGGAATTCAAGACCAAAATTGAGCATATAAATTAGTTCCCGCAATCGAAACTAAAAATGATTCCGGAAAGCGAGGAGAAAAAATAATCCTAGAAATTAGTTATGGGCGGGAGGGGTGCAAACTTTGTATTTTTTTATTTTTTGTAATTTTTATTTTTGTAATTGTTTTTGTTTTGTTTTTGCATTTTGGTCACCGTAAACTCGTTATGAGGTCAATTTGGTCCTTGTCCAATGTAATCGGCTCTTGAATTTTTAAATGATTCGATTGTATCCTCAATTATTATAATACTTTTGAATTTATTACAATTGCATCCCCGAATATTAAATTCACCTTGTTTTTTGTATTTTTGTATATATATATATATATATATATATATATATATATATATATATATATATATTGGCATTTTGCACATTATTAAGAAAAATGGAATAAATAAAAAGAATAACATTGATTAAGATAAGAAAAATAAATAATTAAAAAAAAAACTTAAAATAAAAGAAAACAAATAATCAATTAAAAATAAAGAATTCGAAATTTTGGTTATGACAGTTGCTCCCTCTTTGCAATGCTTACG